CCAGCACTTCAGCAAGTATGTAGCAGGGGTGAGAAACGGACCTCGGTACACTGAAAGAACCAAATGAAGCCAGCTTCAGAGACTAAGCGATACATCGTCAGATATGTGGCTAGAAAAGCAGGCGGGCAGGAGCCAGCCAATGCAAGTCTTTCAGGCCATGCTCAGACAACTGGGGTCTTTATCCTAAGAGCAGTGGAAAGTCACAAAAGCATTTCAGGCTTGGTGTTGATATGATGAGGTTTGCATTTCTTAAAAGATTGCAAGCTACAGTGAGGGACTAGGGTGTGGGAAGACTAGCTAACGGACTAGTGGAGTCATGTACAGAGTCACGGTCAGATTTAAGGCCATAAAACTGACAGGCAGAGGGGATGAGTGAGGGGGATGGCAATACAAAGAATGCCTCCCAGGCCTCTGGCCTGGGTAACAGGAGGAACATCTAAATCACAAGACAGTTACTTCTACTTAAAGGTTTGTTCTTGGATTTTACCTTGTTACTAAGTTACATGTCCTTTAGCGTCCCTGCAATTGTGTGGCATTCATTCAACACAGGTGGAAGGCGTCCTGGGGCAGGCAGTGTTGAAATGAATGGCTGAGGGATGACAGGCCACAGCATTTGGTGCTGGTCCTTCTGCTGTCCGCCTCTGAACCAGCATGTGTGCGTGTGTGTGTGCATGGGTGTGCACACGTGATTAACCACACACGTGGGGGAGCACCAACTCCTTCTGTCATGCTGCCTCAGGGTAAACAGCTCTGACGGGCAACTGTCAAAACAAAATGCCCGCTTCTGAGAATACAGTCTTACACGCACCATTGACCTGTCACAAAAATGAATTTTATTTAAAATAGAATACTCCGGGTTTCCTTCATGAGTATTTATTCTTCCCTTGAGTAAGTGCCCATTAAAGTACAAGGCCACCTCTACAGCAACCAAGGCGGACGCGTCTCACCCTGGCTGATTTAGCATATTGAGAGAGATCTTCATAAATAGCATTTAAAAGAAGGTATAACCCTCATTTTAATTTAGAAGCCATTTTGGAATCATTCTAGACTCCATGTTGATTTTTAAAAAAATAGCTAGATGTTGATTTAAGTAACAGGGAACAGACAGGCGTGCTAGGAAGAAGCTGAGATAATGGGGCAATGGATTATAGTAAGTGTTTAAAAAAGTGTACTGAGCATTTCTGTAAGGTACATGATCTAACTCAGGACGCCCAAGCAGGAGGGACACGGCTGCTCTACGAAACCAAAAGGAATACGGAGGGGACGGAAAACGCTTCCAGGACAATGAAACCGCATCAAATCCGTTCAGGCCGGCTCCTACCAGCACATTTTTTTTAAAAAAACAGCCACAGCTAACGTGATCTAAATTATAAGGGGCTACCTCAGAAGCGATGAGGTGACAATATATACAACAGCACAAAAATGAGAAAAAATACTAAACTGCTCAAATATACGTGCTGTTGTTGTTTTTAGCTGCTGATACGTCGGCCTCTGACTCACGGCGACCCCACACACGACCGAATGCAACGCTGCCCAGCCCTGTGCCATTATCACGATCAGGTGGAGATCGGACTGTTGTAATCCAGACGGTTTTCACTGGCTCCTTTTCAGAACTTATCTCCACGCCTTTCTTCCAGAAAATGCATTCACCACACTACTATTATGTGGACGTGCTCATTTATCCTACGACTCCAGAGGCTAGGTGACTCAATAACTAATGCTTTTTGTGGATTCCTGTGTGATTAGCATGGAACTGTAGGTTATCAATGGGCTGGACCCCAATGCCTCTAGGTTTGTGATCTGCTTTTCTGCTCATTTAAGAGAACTGTAAACTGTTTTTTTAATGATCTTGGACCTGTTCAAACTGAGAAGCAAACTTTTCTGTGAGGCAAATGGCTAACTGAAGTGAAAAATGTCAATGTCTAAAGTTGTAATATCTGGGATGCACTTCACACTTAATATAATGCTATAGTTCTCTGTATCAGTAGTAATGGCAAAACAAAACAATCTGAGATTATCTGAGAGTTAAGTAATAAAGCATTAAAAAAAAAGTTGCCATGGAGTCCATTCCAACTCATAGCAACCCTATAGGACAGAGCAGAACTACCCCCACAGGGTTTCCAAGGCTGTAATCTTTACCGAAGCAGACTGCCACATCTTTCTCCTGTAGAGCAGCTGGTAGGTAAGAACTACTAACCTTTCAGTCAGCAGCCGAGCACTTAACCGCCACCCCACCATGGCTGTTTAAGTCAGGTGAACACGGTTAATGTGCTTGGCTGCTAATTGAAAGGTTGGCGGTTCGAGTCCACCCAGAGGCATCTCAAAGGAAAGGCCTGGCCATCTACTTCTGAAAAGTCAGCCGTTGAAAACTCTGCAGAGCACAGTTCTATTCTGATTCACATGGGGACTCCGTGAGCTGGGATGAACTCCATGGGAACTGTTTTTTAGGGGCATCTAGCTTTAAAACTATTAGGCAGTGTTAGTGACACTGACTATCTAATGTCTGACATTTGAAACTTAAAATCTAAGTTTTAAATTTATTGACATCTGTGACTCGCTTCTGACCAAGAGTACAGCAAAGGTGATGGGAGGCCACTCCCTGACTGTGACATTGCATAAGACTCCGACTTGCTATCAGTTACTGGAGTCTCTCCCTCTGTTGCTGGCTTCAAGAAGCAAGCTGCCATGCGCCCTACAAGCACAAGGAAATGAATCCTGTGGACAACCTGAGTCAGCTTGGAAGTCTATGTTCCCTAGTCGAGCCTCCGGATGAGAACCCAGCCCTGGCCCACACCTTGATTGCCGTCATACAGAAGATCCAGCAAAACCATGCCTAGACTTTTGACCCGCAGAGACGGTGTGATAATGAATGTCTGCTGTTTTAAGGCACTAAGTTTATGACAACTTGTTATGCAGCAACAGAAAAATGAACACCGATTTTGGTACCAGAAGTGGGGTGCTACTCTAACGCTTAAATACGTGGGAGTGGAGGCGGGAAGAATTCTGAGGCGCATTGAGAAGGAAAAGAAAGCTGAAAACGTGTAACTTCCCTGATAACGTAAATTTGTATACTACCGAAAGGCCACTTTTGGCTGACGAGACACACGAAAGCACCAGTGTTTGGTTTAAAACAGTTCCCGCAGGTCCAACTCGAACAACACAAACCAAACCCATCTCCTGCAGGCTGTCTTTGGGAGACGGCTGCTCACTCTTGCATGATAAAGTGCTAATTTTCCTACAAGCATTTCTGATTGTCCACAAACCCACGAAAAGGATGCTTCAGTCCCTAAGATGAACACTAGCATTGACAGCAAGGCTAAGCTCGTAACTTCCTTAGAGGTAAGGGATAGGCATCTGACTTCCTCAATAAGATTAAGATGTGTGGTCGCATCTAACGACATTCTGAAAGGCAATCTGTCCTTCTGACAGAATTTTTTTTTTCTTTCATCAGGAAGTTAGATAAAGCATGACATGGTAGGAAATGCCAGCAAGCACAGGGGTTGGACTGGCAGGGGTGACAAAAGTCTGAGTGTCTGGTGGGACAGGAGTGTGGAGTGGACGAGCTGCCGGAATGTGCTGCAGGGGCCAGACAGGGCGCTATCTGCCTGTTTGCTAGGGAGTGATGGGCACACGGGATGGCTCTCTGGTAGATTAACAGCACCCAGAAACACTGGGTTTTAGAGCAGAGCCCTTTTTCTTAGAAAAACCTGAAACTTTGGAACACAAGATTCTGATGACTATTTTAAAGTCTTTGTAGGCAAATACATATAATTATGTTTACACAGACACAGTGGCGTATCTAAGGTACCGCACCAGCCCTGGGCGTGTGGCGCCACTGAGCAGCTCCCATTCACCCAGTACGGCCCAACGTCCTTCCTCAAGTACAGCAATGTGTTAAATAAAGACTAACGAGCTTGACTTGTATTGTTGAGCTGATATTTATTGTAAATGTACCTAAAAGATGGGCGTCAGGGGTTTGGACAGGGGTGCAATTTCATTGCTTGCCACAGGCGCCGTTTTCTGCAGCTACGCGACTGGCTGTACCCGTTAGTAGGAACTACTGGGTGGTGCCACATGCCAGGGCCGGCGCAATGCCTGCCAGTTCCAGTCACTCCTCTGCACCCAGACGCAAACACCAGTACACACACAGGCAGTCCGCAGGTTACGAACGAGACCTGTTCCCACCGTGTCTTTAAGCTGAATCTTTAAGCTGAATGTGGAAGTCAGAACGGGCGCGCATGGTTCTTGTCTAACGTGTACTTCAGTGCAAGAAAAGGCTCGAACCCTTTTTGGGTGTTTAAAAGCTAAACGTGCAGCAAGTGAAGGTGACTGTGATGAGGAATTCGTGAGTAGGGGCTGGTTCAGCGGTTTCCAAGTGAGGGTAAATCGAGTGCGAGCTGTCAGTCAGTCAGATGCTCGTAACCCGGGCACTGCCGGTATGTGTATATACACACGTATTGTTCTAAGTTGCCGCCAAGCTGACCAAACACTGCCTGGTCCTGTGCCATCTCCACGACTGTTGGTCTGCTCAGGGCCATGGCTGAGGCCACTGTGCACCTTATGTGGCTTTCAACCTAGGGGGCTCGTCTTCTAGCACTATATTGGGCATGCTTCTGTTGTGATCTATACAGTTTTCATTTGCCGATTTTCAGTAAGACGGCCAGGTCTTTCTTCCTACTCTGTCTTAGTCCGGAAGCTCTGCTGAAACCTGTCCACCATGGGTGAGCCTGTTGATATCTGAAATACCAGTGGCAGAGCTTCCAGCATGATAGCAGCACGCAAGCCCCCACAGTATGACAAACTGTCAGATGGGCGGTGGACACATCTACATGGATGTGTATTTTGTAGTATGAGCATATGTACATACACACACTACAAAAGGCCCACAGGCTCTGCCGTGAGGAAAGGATAAGCATCATATCCTCCCCAAGAGCCCGTGCACTGAAAAGCAGTGTGTAAAAACAGACCGTGCCTACAATGCAGATGTCCCCTCTGGCGTGAACATGTTCAACACTGAAACTACTGAACGCAGGAAATCCGGGTTTTAAATGCATTTACTGTTTTTATTTTGCTAGGCAGAAACATACATTCACCATGGGCTGCGATGCAGTTGACGTGTAATGAACAATATATCTTTCTGAAGGCTATTTATAACTAAACGCTACATTGTTTAATTACAGTGGAAATTCTGTACAATTTAAGGCTTGGCTCTGAACTAGATTGTAAATATGGACCAGATTTGGAAATAAAACACTTTTTTTCCCAAGCAAAAGAAGAAAAATTGATTAAAAAAATACAAGGAAGGAGAAATGAGGAAAGAAAACAAAGCAACAAAACCTAACATAACAGGTTTTTTCTGCAGTAAAATTTCATAGTATTGTAAACTAACAAAAATACAGGTTTTCTTCCCAAAAGAATGACAATTTACATATTGAGCGCTTGTTGGGGGACTCCGGGAAACTTTCTGGATTGAACGCAGACGAAAGCAGATGACAGGGAAGAAATGACGTTAATATGCTGAAATCAGTACTGCCTTATAATGAGTTGAATTAGATCCACAAAGCAAGATTGTAAGCATTACATATTTTCGTAGGATCAGTGAGTTGTTACCGTTTATAGGTGAGAGTAATAAAACCAGGTGAAACAAGGAGAAGATTCAAGTTGCTGACTGAATAAACTCGGTTATTGGCACATCTAATCTGTGATAAAACATGACACGCCAGACCTATACAGCTTCTAGCATTTTAGGGTCGTCTTCATTTATCCGTACACAAAAGATGTGTCACCTAAGAAACTGCGGTTTTGTGTATACTTTAATAACAATAAACTAGGAAAGGCATGGCCTGTTTGTGTGTTACATGAGATCACTGCTTCTATTGTTGGTTATGAATGTGCAGGCACAGCTGAAAACTGAGACATTCTGTGGAAATTAAACGCTGCTCTTCCGTAACTGTATGGAGGCTTCATGCAGTATCGGTTTGGTGCTGCGGATTCAGATTGCTTCGTTATGGGAAGATCTCCCTGCCAGCGTCTCTATCAAGGGTCAGGGGCAGTTCTTCTGGACTGACATTTTCCACAGATAAAGTCAGTTGGGTTAGAAGAGGGAACTCCATATGGGCTCTGCTTTTCCTAATGGTCTGCGTGACGGGGTTCACGTGCAAGCTAAGTTACTCCTGCAGGAAAGAGATTCAATAAGTTACTCGTTTTAAAACCCCCAAGAGTTCTTCTCAGATCAAGGCCACAAAACAAGTGTCTTGTGGGCTATTAAATGCACCTTTGGACAAAACACTGTGACATTCCAGTTCACGTCACTGTGATCACAGGCTTTCCCTTAAACTATTACCCCAACATCACCCGAGTGGCGAAAGCTCACTCAGGAAAACCTTTTTTTTTTTTGCTTTCTATCTTGCAAAGTGTATCAGTAATTTGAATATAACAAATGATTTTCATATTTCTTTAAGAGATGGCACTCGTCAATCTACGCTTTTGAAGCCAATGCTAGAGAACTGATTTTTATTTCATTTATACATGTGAAATAATTAAGAGTCTTTGATCACGTAACCAAATGTGCAAGGAGCCCAGCATTCTGAGCCCGCCAGGGACACTCACGGCCCACGAGCTCTGGCGGGAGGTTAGTATGTAAGGCAGGTTTGGGCACACAGTGGACACAGCTGCTCGTCGGGCCGGCCACATAGAAGCCGGGAAGGCATGCGCTTTCTGGCGAAGGCAGGGCCACGCAGCGACATTTTTGCCTCCTCCTGAGACACGATGTTGCACTAGGGGAAAATCATCCCAACGCACAGAATACAGGAAACACAAGACGTCCCCAGAGAAAGGGAGGCTCAGGTTTCGAATGAAATAGAAACAAAACGATCAAAGCATAAGCAAGCTGTCACCACACAAAGCCGCAGAGAAAGCTGACGGTAGGATAACACCACCATCGAAAGGAGAAAGGGGCTCGGTCTATTTATCTCCCTGGTAGCTGGAACACGCACTCTGCCTCTCGGCAAAGCTGTGTGAGTTCTGCTGAGGCCACGGGAGAGTGAGGCTCAACTCTGCCCCTTCAGGTTTGGATAACGCAGAAGTACAGACTTTTCTTTATTCTCTAACTGGCAGCATAATGTCCATGAGTATGGAACCTGTGAACATGACACCAGCACCCGTCAACCAGTTCTCCATCCTCTGCGTAGCCAGCCCTACAAACATCAGCGAGAGCACAGGGGAAGGGAGGAGTCGGTGGAGGGGGCGAGGGCACCACATGCCGCATGCCAGGCTCGGCCAAGCCGGGAGACCAGTGCTGCCTCTTACCTGCGGTCAGTCCTCTCCGTCTTCGGGGGTGATCTCGGTCTCTTTGTGGACCACCACCTTGGTCACTGACATGTCGGGGTGCTGCTCTTTGGCCTCTTTAATCGCCTGAGCCAGCGCCTGTCCCCAGGGATCGCAGAGGGCAAAACAAGAAGGAGGTGGGACACGCATGATCAGCAGAAGGTGGAGACTCGTGAGCTACACCTACACCCACACTTAGAATCCCTAAAGTGCAGTGATCACACAGAAACCACACCTCATATGGTGCAGAGTTAAGTCAAAAGCTTTCAGATTACAGGCTGGACTGGGAGGACAGTGCTGAGAACAGCAGGTCTAACAAGTTCTGCTTCTCAGCCAGGGTCCTTCCCGTCTCACACACAATACCTGGTCACGGTCAATGTCTGCATCTCACGCACAACACCTGGTCACGGTCAACGTCTGCGTCTCACACGCGACACCTGGTCACGGTCAACGTCTGCGTCTCACGCACGACACCTGGTCACGGTCAATGTCTGCGTCCCACGCACGATACCTGGTCATGGTCAATGTCTGCATCCCCCGTGATGACTATCCGCTTCTCAATCCTTGTCTCCGAAATGCCTCCCTTCACGGTCTGAAAGGAACAAAGACAAGCTTTATGAACTTACTCACTTGGAGCAACAGTCATTTGTTCCAAACGGGGAAATGGCAAAAAGACAGAGTTTTAAGTTCACATCACATGATGTTACTTCAGAATTGAAACAGAACTCTATGGACATTGCTGATGTTTGTTAATTTCAGAGATGAGGCTATGGTGGGCTCTTTTTTGTCTGGACGACCTGCATTTCTGTACACCCACCAATGCTAAGCGCTGGAAGGAGCGTTAAGCAAAGGACATCAG